GAGGAGGCTAAAAGAAAAGGTATTATTTCTTAAGGAAACACTGAGTTTCCCTTTTTCCAAGAGTCTGGCTATTAGCCATTCTCTATACAAAGGGTGGGGTGGGGCCAAGAGACCTTTCCATCAATGCACCCAACTTATCTTACTCTCTCAGTGTCAGAACTTCTCTTGAGGGATTTTTGTGCTTCTTCAGCAGGCCTGTTATTGACATAGACCAGAGCAAGTGGGATGAATGTCTTGCACTGGGGAAAAGGGGCAAATATTGAAAGGGCATGTTGAACAGAATCAATAATTTCTATGGTAACGATGTGAAGTCAAAAGTGTAACAGCCAAGAGATGAAAAAGTTAAGAGGTTTTTGAATGCTGGGATCATGTGACATCTTTAATCTCAATTTACATCATTAAATATATATATTAAAAAGTAGATTTTTTTGTAAGATTGTTGTCTGAGCATTTTGCAAATGTCAGTGCAATTTCTCCATAGAGGCAAAAAAATGTCCATTATCATGATGTTGCAAACACTGAAGGCAGTCAGGGGTGGTCAGACTTTGGCATCCAACCCTCAAGGATGTCTTCTCCCTAAGCTGAGGGAGAGAACTTTGGGATTGAGTGCTGTGAGAAATGGTGAAAGAGAACTTTTCTGGGATGGGATTCATTTGCTTGTGGCATTCAATGCTGATATTATACCACTGTGCTGCTAAAAGATGCTTTATCTTTTCTCTGTCTGTTTATATGTCTCCCCAATCCCCTTCCCCCTTTTCTGCTTCTGCAAGGACAAGGGCTCATATGTCTGTTTTTTCCTTGTGTAACAGACGCCTTGTCTTTCCCTTTTCACGGACCAGGACGAAGTCACGGTGGAAACCACCGATCCTGAAAAGAATAAAATGGACAAACTAATTGAAATTCTCAACAGCATGAGAAACAACAGCAGTGATGTTGACTCCAAGCTCACCACATTCATGGAGGAGGCTCAGAACTCTACTAACTCTGAGGAGATGCTGGGGGAGATAGTCAAGACCATCTACCAGAAAGCGGTTACAGACCGCAGCTTTGCTTCCACTGCAGCCAAGCTCTGTGACAAAATGGCCCTCTTCATGGTGGAAGGAACCAAATTCCGGAGTCTGCTCCTCAACATGTTGCAGGTAATGAGATAAAATTCGTTGGCTAGATGCCTGCAGCACCACCTTACCTGGTCTTAACATGCATTTGGAGCAGAGCTGGTACAAAGTGTACCTGCCATTTTGTCTGTGCACATATTTGGTCGTTACCATAGCTAATGTGGCACTGAGGGCATTGTCAAGTTGCTCCTCATTCCTGTCTCATGAACTCTTCGTATAATTATGGTATCTAACACCAGGGCCCATCTGTGAAACGACTCAGTTGCTTGAGGCAGCATCCCCATGACATGGAGAGAAGTGAACTGGGAGGGTCTTACAGTATAGGTTGTTAGAGTGGAGAGTCTGTGTCAGCCCCAGTGATCCCAAGTTAAGTCATAGTCCCTAAGTGGGCTGTTGGTTGCATCTCCTGGCTGGAGGGCTTACTTCTGGTTTCTGGTTTCAAACAAAACTGAAATAATTTGTGCATTTGCTCATTATTCTGGGTGAATTGTTAATTGGTATATGCAGCACTGGTTGGTTGTTCTGCTCCATAACCATCAGTGACAGCATAGCTGCACGGGGAAGAAAAAAGCAGTGGCTCTTGTAACTGGTCCATGATATTAATAAGTGGACTCAGTGGGCTTGGAGATGTTTTCCAGCCTAGATGATTCTGTGATAATAGTGGATGATGGGCAAAACGGACTGTCCTTGACTGCCCGTGGACTGCTGACGGGAGTGTGTTGTACTGTTGTGCCGCCATCAAAGCAGGGGTTGTTTTCTGGGAAGGTGTCACATGCACTTCTGACTTCCTGCCTCAGGAGACAGAGTTGAAACCATGAATTTCCATCCTTAATTTAATGTGAATTTCAATTTCGCCATTCCCTCACACATGTCTCATCTGTGGGACATACAGAGCTTTTGTCTCATTTCTCTGCTCTCTGCACGTTTGTTGCCCAGCATCACTCCAGTTTACTCCGGTTTTTGACTCAGCTGCTTGTCCTTGCTGCTCTTGTTGGAGATCCTCTCTTGGATGCTGTGCCTGACTGCTTGTACCCTGAGTTGGCTTTTGGGCAAGACAGCAAGCAGGGAAATAAGGAGTAAATAAAGTAATGAAAATCAGTATCTAACACAAGCTTAAGATAATCTGCAAAATCACTTCTTTATGGTTCTGTGCAAAGCCCTTGGGCAGCTCACACATCAGCCCATCATCTGCACCAAGCGGTGATTTTTTTTTTCCAAACGATTCATTTCCTAAGTGATTATAAAGCAGAATGAGACAAATTGTGGTCACCATCAGTTCCAGATTTAGCAGCAAGTAGCTGGAGGGAGCTCTAAACCCTCAGTGCATCCCACTCTTCCCATACTGGGTCATGCTTGTGTCTTTCCCTGTTTCCTGAGCATTGCTAAGAAATCCAAAATAGAGTCCAGGAGTGATGGCCAGGAAGCAGCAGCATGTTTCCAAAAATTGAGACTGATGACAGTGCTGGGTTAGGGAGGACTCTTCTAATTTGCTTTGTTCTCCTGCCCCAGCATTTCCACCCATGCCAACAGACCCAGTATACTGATTTATACTGCAGCATCATGTGAAAGAATAAGTGGCTTCATATTTGGCTCTTCACAGCATAAATGTAGGATAAATTATATATCTCCTATCTCCAGAGAGTCTCAAAGTGCTTCTCAGGAACATGTAGCCAGTCATGGTGTGATGGGAGCATGGTGTCCGTTGTGGAGATTAGGGAGAAATGAAGTGGAAAGAGCAAGCAGGGTGTGTGGGTTACCAAGTTCATGTGCTGAAGCATAGGAAAATATGCAGAAGGGATTTTTCAGTCCCCTGCACATCTTTTATAAATGTCTTGTTGGGGAAAAGGGTGACAGATCACTACAGGTCAAAAGCAACATGCTATGTGAAATTAAATAATTTAGCATTACCTTTCTGATAATAAAGGATTTAGACTTTCTCCAAGCTGAGTTTCTTTTTCCAACTAAAATAATGGGATGAATTCACGCAGATTAATGAAGCACTTTGGTCAAGCCCTAAATCAGGAATTTTTTGTGCATTCAGGCTTGGTAGTCCTGGCTGGAGACTGACCCAGGTATGAAGCGTAAAATACTGAACACAACTGGCTCGGTGTGGGAGGTTGATGGTCTATCAATACTATCAATATCAGTATGAGATATTGGAATTGATAATATGTTATCAATATCAGTAAGGCATATTGGATATTATGGAGTAATGTGGGTATCCTACTGATATACTAATACTTTGGTATCAGTTATTATATATCAATATGATAGATAGATAGATAGATAGATAGATAGATAGATAGATAGATAGATAGAAATATACAAATAATGTATTGATATATGAGTGATATAACATTACACAACTCCCTTTCAGGCCCATCCACCATCAGATATTTTCTATCAGCCATTTCTAGATAATTTACCATTAATTAAACAAAAAACAACTTTGATAAAATACTTGCTCCAGAGCAGGATTTATGTCTCCCTAGCACCTTTCAGACTAATCTGATCCCCGGACCTAAAGAGCTCAACTCGCTGGGCACCAGCAAGCTGGGGAATTACTCTGCTGGGGTGTGATAAATTGGGATCAACGTGATCCCCTCCCTGTGCTGCTGGCGCCTGGGGCTGGACCGCTCACCCCTGCATCTGCTCCTCGCAGATGCTTCTGTTTTGTAGGGGCTTGTTTGTCCCTTTCTCTCAGGACTGCAATGGCAACAGATCAGTCCCACCAGAGGATCTCAGAAATTAATGTGTTAACCCTCTGAGCTGCCCTACCAGCATCCTGGTGCCTACAGACAGCGTCCCTATACTTATAGACAGCATCCCTGGACCTTAAACAAACAGCAAGGGGTTTTTCCTGCAGAACAGGCAGTAAACTCTCTTTCTAACCTGGTTCCTGGTTATTTTCAGCTGTCGACAAGGTGCTTGTGCTCAAGGGTTGCACATGTTCATGGCTTATCTCAGGGGACTTGTTTTGATCCCAAGAAGATGCCAGCACTGCAGCAGGGGAATGTTGTCGCATCATCCCTCTCCCTGCCAGCAGCTCCTCTAAAGAGCTTTCCCCTAGCCGGCATTGGTCCATTTCAGGCTCTAAGGTGACCCATCAGGAAAACTCTGTTTTGAATTCATCCCTCACTGTGTTTTGGTCGAAAATCTTGGCCAAGTCTTGAATTTGGGCGCTGCGAACCTTTCAGGAAAAGAGATATGGAAAGGGCAGTCATGAGCTGAACAGCTGGTAGAGCTCAGGGAGATGCCGCCCTGTGGGAGCTTGGCACTGGGGGGTCATTTGGCATCTGGATTGTCAAGCCTTGGCAGAGGCTACCCAGACAAGTGGTGGAGGCACCTTTCCTGGAGAGATTTAAAAGCCATGTGTATGTGGCACTCGGAGACATGGGTCAGTGGAGGACTAGGAAGTGCTGACTTGGTGATCTTAAAGGGCTTTCCCAACTTAAACAATTTTGTGATTTGGGTTTGATTTTCTTCTCACTGAGTTTGGTTTAGTGTGTGGTAGAAGGAATGATTTTGAGGTGTGTGAGCCCTTGGGATGGACCTGGTGGAGGGAGCTTGGATGGCTGGGGATGGTCAAGAACATCATAGTGAGCACGTCTGGTTTCTTCACCCCTCTAGAATACCTTCTTAATTAATACATTAAAAGTTGGTCTCCGGCAAGAGGGTTTTGCTTGTCATAGTTTCACACACTGGCATGTCCAGGCTATTTTTTTTCCAGTGGCGGGGTGTAGCAATGTGCCACAAAACCTTCACATGTAACATAAGTTGGAGTAGTCCTTTGTTGAAGTGGCCGTGCTCTTTATAGCAGAGCTGTGTCTGCATCTGAGCTATGCAGAGCCAAGTGTATTATTAGAGTGGACATCACTGGGGCTGTAATTGTACACTGCTCCCCTTAGCAACCACAGCCAACAGCACATCAAACAGAAGGCTGATACCTTCTTTTAATAAAAAAAAAAACACCACCCATCATGAAATGAACATCCCAACACAGAGCAGCAGAGCCTGCTGCAGAGTGTGTGCTGGCCTGCAACCAGAGCCAGCGTTTGGTTCATCCCTGCAGATGGAAATGCCTTTGGTGCCAGTAGAGAAGGGTTGGTTGTGTTGCATACCTGGGGCATACCCTATGGCATACCCTGATCTTTACCAAATTGCACACCCTACTGCATACCCTGCTGTATGCCCTGTTGAATACTCTGTTGGATACCCTACAGCATACCCTATGGCATGTCCTAATGCATACTGCAATTGATACCTTCTAGAATACTCTATTGCATACCCTAATGTATACCAAAATTCATACTCTGGTGCATATCCTATGGTATAGCCTAATGCATACATACCCTAATATATACCAAATTGCCTACCCTATTGTGTACTCTATGGTATACCAAAATTCATACCCTAATGCATATCCTGTTGGATACCTTATGGCATACCCTATTGCACAACCTAATGCTTACTCTTGCATACACTACTGCATACCCAGTGACTTACCTTGTTGCACACCCCATTGCATACACTATTGCACATCCTAATACATGCCCTATGGCATACCTTATTATATACTATGTTGCATACCTACACAGGGTTTGTTCATCATCTTGCTTTAACCTCTTGATGCCCCAGAAATGTCCCTTTCTTGGGTGAATGCTGTCCTTGACTCTGGTTGTAGAAACTTTGTAGAATCACAGAATTTCCTGCAGCTTGAAGGAACCCACAAGGATCATCAAGTCCAGCTCCGAACCTGTCTAGGAGAGTCCCAACAATCTCACCATGTGCCTAGGAGCCTTGTTCAAACTCTCCTTGAAGTCTGGCAGGCTTGGGGTCATGACCACTTCCCTGAGGAGCCTGTTTTGGTGCCTCACTACCATCTCAGTGAAGAACCTTTTCCTAATATCCAGCCTAAACCTCCCTTGACACAGCTTCATATCATTCCCTCAGGTCCTATCCCTGGTACCAGAGAGGAGATCAGTGCTGGTCCTTTGCTGCTCCTCATGAGGAAGTTGTAGACT